CATCTGATTGTCCCTGATCACTTAAGAAACGATGGCGATGACTTCCTTGTACTTTTCCAGATATTCGCGATCATGCGTACTATCATTCTGTTGCTGTTCTCTACGCATTTCTGTGTGCCATTATTCCACGTTTCCGTTTCAGAATATGGCTGTTGTTTCCGATTCACTGATGATCCAGTTGAAGACATCATGAGAAGGGTCGAATTCGTCTATAATAAAGCCTGTAAACAACAAAAAACGAGACATTTCCAATGATTTTTGAAGACTCCACAGATATTTCAGTAGTTAATAAGTCATTTGAGCATTTTTAGGCTTTGGTTACAATTCAGTTATAAGATGAACTGCGAATTCCAGTTTAGCTATCAATGTGGATGCGCCCCAATTACGGGGGTGGACTGTTCAATGTTTTTGCTGCACACTTCCCACAATGGATTGAGAAAAAATCATTACAGAGATTTTATTTAAAATGTCAACTAGTGTCGCCGCATATAGGGCAATGCTCGAAAAATATTAGAGCTTGTTAGTTCACTTTTCTTAAACGCCCTTCAACTTTTAGTACAATATTTTCAACAGAAAATCAGTAGTGATCCGAAATATCCGAATAAAGGGAGAGAATAGCACAGTGGTAGTGATGTCCGTCATTTCGAGCATAGTGCTATGTCGATTCCGCTCCAGGCCAACCAAGTCTCTCACCTCTCCGCTGTCGGGAAATTGGTATATGACTTGTCTGGGAAAAATCAATCATTGAGATCCAATTGGGAGCGCCCCAGCCCGGCTATCTCAGGACTCCAGGGAGAATTGCTCGACCAGCATTCTACGACATTCAAAATGAAATAGAAATCCTCAAGCAGCAACCGAGGCGCACGTAAAACTTGGAAGATCTTCGTGGACAATGGATACAAGGAAACGAATTGAATGTGAGAAGTGCTGGGATCCATACAGTAGACGTGAAGACAGGAGTCATTTATAAATGAAAAAAAATATGTGGCGAAAATCGTCGAAAAGAAGTCTCATATGGAAAGCATCTCCAGTTGTTTTCAGATTAATTTTTACATAGTTAGGTAGTAAGATGACCTACACTCAGATTTTCTGCCTTTGCCTGCACTTCTTCCTCAATGATTTCGTTGTCCGGTAATTTTCATCCATAACGGTGTGCGATTTGGGTTCGACTTTGGCTCCATTCAATGACAAATCCATGGGCAACTAGTTGAAGGCTTGAACTGAGGTCGTTTAGACTCTTTTAGAATTCACGGAAATGTACTCCTCATCAACTTATCCTCCTCGTTTTCTGTTATCCCTTTGTGACCCTGTCAATAAATCATTAATGAGATCGTTTAAAGACCATGGGTATATTCTTAAACCTTAATAATACTCAGACTTCCTCTTTCGTCGCCAGAGCCTGTTATCTTCCTATGAAGACCGGATCAGAAGGGCTACCCTTTAGAACAGCAAATACTATCGTCTTAGGAGAAACCTACTGCTAAGGTGCAAGGCTTCAATCCACACTGATCAGGCCCAATGGTAACACGCTTATGCGTATATACTACGACCCTGAGAAAGAAAACAAAGCTTACTGATTCGGCAAATTATGAATGAAATTGATTTGTGCTTCGACTGTAGTTTTGACCAGGATTTATTTTTTTTAGCATTTCTTCTCATGTCTCCTTTCCAGTTTAGTATTTTCGTCTGGACAAACCAGTCATTTTTAATTTATCTGTAGACATTCATCTTATTAACAGTGATCATATAAAGATTAGTGGCGATGATTCTCTTAAAAAGCGGTGGGTTTTTTCGAGAAGCTGTTGATCGTGTAATTAACAGAGAGTTTTTCGTCTTTTTGTAAGTGGTATTGAAGCGTTTGGCCTTGTAGATTGCATATCAGTATACCCTTCCAGACTCTGAAGAAGGCGATACTGCCGAAACGTCAGCTACTGTTGTGTTGTATTGTGTTTTTTTATGGAAGTAAATGTATGCTGTTTAAAAACCTCGCGATTGCTGAACAAGAAAACGACGCAGTCATATTCCAATGCCGAGGTTAAGAGAAAGTCGTTCCTGGGATCTCTTATAGTTCTCCGATTTTTCAAACCGATCGAGTGTACTAACGTTTTTTGCTATTCTTTACACAACTATGAGTAAGATTCTGAGATGTTTCTCTTTCAGAACATGGCGCTCACTCCCAATTCAGCGGATGGTCTAGTGAACGACATCGTGCTAATGGTAGAATTCGTCATTAATATAAAAATTGCAAGATTTGTGGCGACTTCACCTATAATGAAGCAACCGCCAATCTATGCTTTAGTCATTAAGCAGCTATAGGAAATGCTAAAAAATTCCACATCTTTCACCGATGTGAGAAATGTGCCGCAATCGCGTGGGCGACCCATTGAATGTCTAGGCGGCGCGTTCACCACAAAGGAGAGAGACGAAATCATTAAGTGTTTCTATTTGCATGCAAATCAATCCTATTGAATAAAATAATATACAAGCAGACAATCGGAGGATGGGTTTTTTAATCTCCAATTTCTGTTGCAATAATACAGACGAAAATGATCCGACATGTCTGGATAAATTTCCAGTAATGATGCTATCAAAGAACTTTTCACATTTTACACATTTTACTGATGGATACAGTTTTCTGGTAGTGTTCTTCTTGGCGGTGTAATGCGCGATGGCGAAATACTAACTTTATGCATTGATAGTTTCGGTAAGTTACCGTAAGAGTCAGATATTTATTCAACCACATCAACGGTGGTATGAATGGAGTTGAATGCATAGTGTTCCCACTAGGCACTTTATATTTTCCATTTTTACTCGATGTAATATTGTTTCATAAGAAAGCAGCATCATCACAAATGAACAACATATGCGGGTGGTTGGTTCTGTCAATGCTTAGAAAACAACAGCGGCTTTACGGAATTCGCAGATATGCCCCTTGGCCTTGGAGATTAGCAATTAGCTGTTCACAACCCCGTGTCAGACCAATAAGAAGGACATTTAGTAAGAATAAAAACAATCAGAGCGCTGCTGTCGTTCCAATGTTCGACGTCATTCGAACTACCTACACACTTGATTAAGTTTCATTAAAACGCTGAGCAATGATTATCTTCCTGCAGAAATAATAGCAAGCCAAGTCATATCTAGCCTTCATCGGCCATCGGCTTAATAGAAAGAACTAATGCTTATTAAAATCACTGTTGTGGAATTTATGTGGACACCACTATTTCTCATTTCTCATCATTACTTACTTGAATACTTGGTTGGCCCGTCTTCACTGATCGTTCTGGAAAATTCTATTCTTCGGGGATTTGCTAGTCTAACCATTGTGGTTCGCTGCGCTCCCGAGGTCAGCCTAACCGATGCCTTCTTCAGGCTGTCATCACCCCTGCAGCCGTTGCCGTTGCAGATCAGAGGGATATTTACCAACATGGGACTAGTTTGATATGTAGACGGTGGTGGAACCGGGTATCGGTTTAGTCTTAGCCGGGCTTCGTGATGAATAAAGCGCTGGTGAGATTTCGCATCACTACTTCCCACATTTCTCATTCCATTCCTGCAAAAAAGCAGGACTGATGAAATAGTACTCCTAATTCAATCTTTACTTGGTGTTCTACGAATTCTTTATCAAAAATTCGACAACTCCAATTTTGAGGTTTATGGTCCCGGAATTTTTTTCTCGAAAAAATCGAGGAGGGAAAATTAGCGAGGGCGATTGGCAAGTCGATCTTTATTGAAATCGGAGCCGTTCAAAAAGATTATTTGAGAATTTTTTTCTCAAACGTTCCTTTTTGCCTTTCATGTTTGTAAAAGAAGGTGTTAAATGCTTAAAGACGACATCAAGCAATAACGATATCGGAAACGAGCGGTGTCGTGTGTTCACATCACTCCAGTGTGATATGGTATGTAATCAGACTTTGAAGCGTTCCTTTTCTTAAACTTACAACCTGTTAATCACTTAACAAATGTTTTTTTTACAACATAATAGTTGGTCATAAATCCAATCAATAAAGTTTCTTATTTTAACATGGGAAATGAAAATAGTACTGAGGTCACCTCATCTCCAATCATCTTCATCTGATTCCACAAAAATCAAATCTGTTTTAACCTGAAGTCGTGTTAATCATTGTGCAGTTCAAGTGGTCACCGGCTAATGAACTTCACTCTCAAGCAGCAGAATTTTTCTCTGATTTCCACTCCCCCAAGTGTGTTGAAGAAGATAACACTTTTGGGACGATTCTTTCCAGCTTTTAGCGCTGTTGTGTTAATAATTCACCTCCTACCCTGCTACGAAAAACAATAGGCGGTAAATAGAAGTGATTACATTGTGACTCCTTTCCACCACTGTTTTCTGGCGATACCTTGATCATAGGTAGCTCACACTTCTGAAAGTTAAGCGTTGAACTCATTCGTTCTCTTCCTCATCTCATAGAAGCTTGCTCATACGTCTGATTCTTTAGTATATGTAGTTGATGCGCCCCATGTTGATTCGACCAAATCCTGCAGCAAGAGCTTTCGCCTTATATAAAAGCTATCTCAAAATCTGTTTTCAATGAAACAGCTTCATATCTACTATGAAAGTGCCCATGAAACTCTTCAAAATCGTCGCAGTACAAACGCTAGAAGTATATCTACATTTTCGCCTAAAGCATTGTGAACAGAAGACTTGTGCAGAAAGTCTAGTGAAGACCTATAATTTTGTTTCCAACATCCGCTCTCGTCGACACTATGCTCCGAAAGCATTCCACGCCAGTGATTCAAGTATTTTGTACTGGTGTGTGATGTAATTAGGGCTTCCTGCGCATCTTAAATTTTTATTGTGAAGGCTTCGTCGGAAAGTGCATCGTTTTTGTCTCAAACAGATGTCAAAAAATATGGAGGAAGAGTTTAGTAGCTTACTTATGATGGACAGCTTTGGATTTTCGACTGTGTTCTATTGAAAATTTGCTGAGAAAGGAGACGCACTGAAGTCACGTATGTCTGGAATAAATATTTCTGACTTCTTTCTAGAAAGAATTTACAAACAAATGTTTGTTTACATGGTTCCTTTTCCATGCTATGAGATCCGAAGAATGGCTAGCAGTCGGATTTGTAAGTGCATAATATGCTTTTGCTGTTCCTCTTCCTTGTCCCTCTACTTCTCGACCGATTCCTTCTTCAACAGTACAATCGCGATCTTCAAATTTTGCTATTCTTCCATCAATTGCACCATCAATTCCACCATCATCTGTTCCAACAGTCACATTCATTTCAAATCTGTTAGAACTGACGTTCAAACAGCTGGTCACTTGAACTAAAATGGAATTTCTTTGTATTCACTGTTTTCCCCACCGGCTTCCAAATCATTTCAGCTTGACTACCTTGCATTAGTGAGCGCTGTTATAACTTTGTCAACATTACTGTTTACTGAACCAAAACGGCAGACCATTGTTCAATATAATACAAACACATGATAATTTGTTTCTATTCGCGAATTTCTTTCTTACTTTATTTGTCATTGAATCGTTTTGATGTTATGTGCTTGACATATGACATTGCGTAAATGCACACAAGTGATGGGTATCGCAACAGGTTTTCTTGAGATTATCATCCATGACGGTGGTCTGTTCAATTATGGCGACGTGGGTGAGTCTCATTACTTGATTCGCAAACTATTCGCAGCTCCGGTTACACAATCGTCTGTTGTCAACTCTACACATTTCGCAACTTGCAGATTTGCACTTTGCTCTGAACATATTTTCCTCTGAAGAACGAGCTCTTTTTGGAGGGTTGCCTAGTCGCCGTTGTTCAGCTTGGCCACTGAACATGGTTGATGTTCCAACCTACACCTCAGCTTGATAACAAAGCTCTAGAATGATTATTGGATTAAAACAACGAGCACAGTCTAGGTTTTGTATGCCTTGTCACGGTAACTTTTCTAAGAAGCCAGAACGCTTCCTCAGTTTCTTGGTCATGTTGCTTTCTGTGCTCATTCACCGCACGTGGTATGTGACTTTTGAAACAAAAACGTTATCTATACTCATTTCTTCTAAATATCTACACGATCGTCAATTTTTATTTACTGCCTACTCTTTTTTAATGGCAAGGGACTATGTAAACGGATGGTGTCTGCGCTCCGGAGTTTTCTAAATATCTCAGCATCATTACGGTTATCTGCACAGGTTTCCATAATCTTCACACTTTTTCTATAGTTAGAGCGATGAATCGATTAAAAAAATTACATGCACTGTAGTAGCAGTCAACTAAAGCCTTTGTGTAGAATTTTGTGCTCTTTTGTGGGCAAACCCTCATAAAATATCACTCGCTTTGACGTTGTCGAATGAATTTTGTAATCGATAAGATCGGTCTCCGTCTATTCGACGTTATCGATAGGAAAGTGGCTTTTTGAAGAAGTTGATTGTAAACAGGTGAATCGTGGTGGTTTGTAAAATCTCTTCGATCACCGACCTTGAAGAATTTATGATTTGAAAATTTGGAGATCTCCGCGCCTTCCTCCATGCTCTTCATTGCATCTCAGATTTTGCAGGAATAAATCCGTGATGATTTCCTTTCCGGAAATTTGTTGTGTATTCGCTATCCTTGTACTTTAGTACTCAGTATTCATTCACTACGAGCACTGAATCGTCATTCACTGTAAGAATTTCACTTCAATGTCTGTGCCTTCACAAAGAAAGTGCATTCTGCATTCAAGGCTCTGTTTTTGGTAACTGAAGGGGTAAAGATAGCCTTTTTGTGTTTTTTGTCACCGATTCGGAAACAGACGATTTAAACAGACGCACGCCTGCGACGACGCCACATAGCGCTCGGTGGCCATGTTATTGCGTTGGGTTGTTGCTTCGCTTATCCTACTAGTCCTGCCAGTCTCATTCAATGGGAACTCTTGATCCATTTTCACGAAATTCGTCTAGTTTATCTTATGGTTGCCCCATTCCACCAAAAACTCACTCGGAGCACTTTGAGTCAGCTTCGTTCACAATTGGTCTTTTTCACTCATATTCCTTCCTTGTCGTACATTTAATTCAACAAATCAAATCGAAAAGTGCTATGATTTGCATTATATTTAACGAAAGGTTATAAAAATGAAAGCAAAGATTATTTTGGATAAAATGTTCGTTATTATTTCTTCTTTCAACAGTTTAAACAAGAACGTGGAGTCTGGAACTTACAATTTACCATTACTCATGGGCTCTTCTAAGCTAAAATACAAAATCAGCCTATCTTCCAGAAATTCTTCTAAAATGCAGAGTATTGAAAGTTTGTGTACTCAGTAGAGGTGTTCGAATCCGTAAATCCAATCATTCCATGAACGCTTCTGTTTGAATTGGCGTAAAGCGTTTGTTCTGTCGATGAAAGTCGACGACATAAGCTTGGTGATTTCGGCTAACGTGAAACGGGTTTTTTCCGCTAGGAAAGTTTCGTTCGTCTTTGCAGTATTAGATCATTTAAGAGAAGCCCTCCAGCAGCAAGCAATTTGCTGAAATCTTGCCAATCTGCGAATGTGCTACTTTTCGATTAATTAAAGGTCGTTTATCAGTTGAAAATTGCCGATGGAAGTTTACGGTACTCTCTTCAGTTGCACGACTCCGTTCGTCAAGGAAAAGCGCTGTATATTTTTCCTCCATCATTTGGATGGCGTGTGGCACTTTGAAGAAAAAAACTGCTAGTGTGAAATATGCATGTTTCCTGAATGACGTGTATGACATGAATGAATGATGGATATGATTATCGAAGTGATGGAAGCCGTGGATTATTGAATATCATTTGTTTCTATTTTTCCCTCGAGTTTCTAAAGTAAAAATATTTTCTATTCCTCCCATGCACAGTGAGAGGACAACCAAAAAGTAGTTGCGTAAGCTAAACTGTATAGGAGATTTATTCCTAGGTGTGATTCCGTATGGACGTGTCACTTTTTGGCTTGTATGACCTTGTTCTACATTACAGTTGAACACACAGAAGAATTCCTCCCCGACAAGCTTGGAAACCGTTAAAATGAGGTGGTCACTCACAGAAGAGTTTAACTTATACCTAGTTCTTAGCTACCACTTCTTTTTTTGTTCCCAAAACGACCTTGATATTGAGCATATTTATGTTAATAATTCTTAGAACTTATCTAGTTCTATGGAACGGCTTGCTCAGACGTCGGTTTCTTTTCCAACTATTTTCTGAAATCTCCTTTTTCTTACCACTTTTGGTTCCTAATTTCTGTTTCTATTTACTTGTCAACGCCAATGTCAGAAATGCTAAAGAATGGCTATATTTGAACTTTACGATTAGCGGATAAGTTTGTACTGGCCATTCATAGGGTGCAATTGCGTCGTATGAAAAAGTCTTATTATGTTATTCTTTAAAACTTCCAGTGAAATGCATTAACAGATTTGTGCTTCTTATAAATATGTGAGGAAAAACTAACACAGATTTTTCTTTAAGTTAAAGAAACTATGATGAAGAATGTACATTCTTTGGAGCTAAGCACAAAAGATCTCTAAGTAATTTAACTATTTGGCTTAATCAAAATCACTCCGTACTCGGCAACCTTGGAAGGCAATGGAAGATGGGATTTCACTTGAAATTCTCCATCGTTTAAGCTCTTCTAAAGCACATGATTATGTAACTCCCACGACCGACTTTCTATTAACCTCGGCATTGATCAAGTAATTCTTCGTATTTTTGTTGAGCAAACGCGAG